CATATATATATATATATTTTAAAGAAATTGTTAATTAAACTTGTTATATTTATAATATGTTATATTAATAATACATGTTATATATATATTTTAAAGAAATTGTTAATTAATCTTCCTTTTTCCAAGAACGTGTATTCAATTGTAAAAAGCTGGATCAATTGAATATATGTAAGAAATGATATTTTTAAATTTAAAATCAATGATATTTCATATTTCATCATACAGACAACACGCGACACGTGTTTCTAAGATGTTTTTCTTAGAGAAAAACAGATTACACATGTATGTATTCTCATTCGAATTCTTTACCCCTCGTGTTTGCTTCACGCGCTTTTAAACATGGCGGTATATAATCTTTGATCCTTGACAGTTCTTAGTAGAACAAAAAAAAAAAAAAAATGGACGGCGGACTGTTTATGATCTTAAAATGTTAACGATATAATTTCTTAGAACAAACGAAGCAAACTCAAACAGTTGAATAAATAATTATTTCCCATTATTCTCGCGAGCCAAAAAAATACGATCTCATTAATTGTCCATTTTTTATTCTCCTCTTTTTTTCACCGTCTACTAACCTAACCTTAAAACCACATAGTTTAACATTTTCTTCATAAAATCTATTTACATAATTTGTTTCATCTCTATATCATCGTTATTACGATCAATGTGATAATTATCATTTAACATTCGCGTATTTGTTCGAAAGAAAAAAGAATACCACAAAAAATAAATATAAATTAAAAAAAAAAAGTACATTTAAGAGAGAGTAATGATGATCTAAAGAGAGAGAAAGCTTACATAAGTCGTGTAACACCTTGAATATGACACAATGATGTATGTTCTTTAGTTTGGTGGATGCTGTAGTAAGTAGTAGTAGTAGTAGTAGTAGTAGTAGTAGTAACAACAGCAGCAGATGTTTCAAAGAAAACGACCACCGAAAATTGTATTACCGAATGACGTGGTTTCATTACGTAAGATAAGAAAGTTTGCCAAACTCGTTGGAACAATGTATCCCCTCATTAAAAAAAATGATTGTAATGATTAACAGTAATAATAATAATAATAATCAGTTAAAGTTAACTTCATTCATTATTACGAGATGAAATACAACTAAAAATTAGGTTCAAAATTTCAAATTCAATATTTATTTAAATACAACGTGAGAATAAAATGAATGCACAGGTATAGTAATCCCGATAAAAAGTTTGTATGTTATACCTATAATGAAACTTTTTGAATAAAGGATCTTCCTCAAGGTCTTCATCTCCGTTCTTATCGGAAACAAATTAGTATAGTCGACGTTAGGCGCGTTCCAACGACTCCAACGTTAGCCCTCGGGCGTTAAGTTACAAGTCCCATGTGACGTCACATCGAAATAACGGACACGATCCTTTACGTTCCACTTCTTTTCTTGATACTACAAAAAGCATCGTTGAAATATGCAAAGATCGCGTTTAGAAAAGATCTCATCTGTTTATCTGAGATAAATTAACCAAGGATCAATATATTGGTTGTAACATCATTTTTCTTCAATAGTTAAAATAATATCAATACAACAAAAGGGATTCATAATTTTGTATTATTAAAATTTAATAAAATGTACAAAAAAAAAATATATATATATATAGATAGGATAAGGTATTAACCCTTTACACTCGAGGTTTTTTTTTTCATTCATATTACCAGCAACTCAAAGTAATTTCAATAGAAAAATCATATTTACATATTATAAATAAATGATATATGGGCATTAAAAGAATTGGTATGTTGTAGACTAAATTGAATTTACTTCAGTTTTTATTTTTTTTATCGTTTCCATAGCGGTGCCCTCGAGTACAAAGGGTTAATATCAGGATATATATTCTTGCATAAGCAAATATATTTATATGGAAAATATCGAAAATTTGAAAGACAAAAATATTATTAATTAAAAAAAAAATAAAAAATATAACAAATACGTTACACGCACACGTGAATCATTTAAAAAGAATAACAACTCTTTCATTGGAAAACTTTATGCATAAAACTATATAATAAGATAATTAGATTATTCTAATTTCAAATATTATATACTTCATTCTATATATAATTGTGAAACTAATTTAATCAAATAATATAAAATAAAATTCATTTATATTTGATAATACCTATATATATCTCGAGTTACATTATAATAAAAAAAAAAACTGATATGTGTACTTATGTACGCACGTAAGAAGTTATACTTCTTTAGCGTATATACCAAAACGAATATAACCTCAAAAATAACTTCAATTTGCGCGCGCATCGCGTAAATATCGACAACTTCGTGGTGTCGATTTTTCGTTCGCATCTAACTTCACTTTCCAAAACGTACCAAAAGAAGTATAACTTCAAAAAAGAAAAAGAAAAAGAAAAAGAAGAAAACGTAAAAATAATAAATATAATAAATGAAGAAACTTTATCTCTCGTAATCACTGGTACCTACCTATACACTTTTATCTACATATTATATTAAATAAAAACAGATAGTTTAATTTTAAGATTGGTGATAATTATTGAGTAGACGAGGGGTGTGTTAAGAATAAACCAAAAATGTGAAATAAATATAAGTGAAATAATGATAAGACATTGTAAAAAAACTTTGTAAGTTGTGCAATAAAAACCTGATTATATATATTAAATAAAAACAAAAAGAAAAAAAAGAGAATAAAAAATAAAGTCTCTCGAGCGCGACAAGAGGAACAACAACGACAACATAGTCTCAAGGGGTTAATTTTCTTCTTCCGTCTCTTTTGCCTCCCCCTCCCATAAGGATTTCTTCATCCCTTTTTCTAATATGTTTCTCTCTTTTTCTTTCACGGGTCAGGAGCTCGTTGAAATCCCTGAATGGCGACCCACAAGAATAATTTATGGGGTTTTGAAGGGTTTCCGCTCGAAAGCGTATATACACACACAAACTATTTCTCGGGAAGGATTATATTCGATATATATTTATATATATGTATATGTGTTTCTCTATGTGTGTGTGTGTGTATAGA